TTCAAACCGATATTTACTAATTGAATAAAGTATATACTAATTATTATTTTATAATATTAATAGGACCATATATTTTTCTATAACTTTTATTATTTTTTTATTGTTGTTTTCTAAAATATACATAGCTTATGTTACCATCTCATCTTATCTCTTATCATATTTTAAATAAAAAATAATAGCATATGCATATATATATATATATATTTATTTTCTTGTATATAAAAATTTTTAGATAATAAATGAAATAAAAAATAACCGAACGAAAAAATAAATTATAATAAGATGAAACAATATGAATCAGAAATAAAAATAAAAGTATATAAAAGTAAATCTCTCGCACTTTGTTTTACAAAGTCACTTAAAAACTTTTAAACACGTAAGAGCTATATTTTAATTTTTTACAAATACGCGTACATACATATATATTAACTGTACATTAGTTGAAGTCACATGCAAACTTTTCTGTGCATGTATTTTGTTAAAATTGATTACAGTCTAATTTTTATTTTAATTATTATACAATTTATATTTTAAAAAAATCTTTATCTATTCTAAGTATAGTGAAGTGGATAGTATGCTCGCACATGCGTGCCAATTATCTATCCGCTCTTAGAAATAAGTAAAAATGGTAAAAACTATCTTAGTTTAATTTGTAATAAATCAAGAAAAATATATACTTAAATATTATATATATATATATTTGCAAATTCATATTATGTAAGACGCAAAAAAGCATATCATAGACTGTGTAAAGAGAAATAAAACATATTATAGAAATATTTAAAAAATATTATAATAATTTAATTGTTATTTAACATAACTTTTATATTTGTGATTATATATTATTATAAGCATTATAAATATAAAAAGTTTTAAAATACATTGGTTTCAGAAAGAAGTTTGTAAAATATTAAAACAATATATATATACAAACATACCAATATTTAAAAAAAAACTAATCAACATTTAAATATTAAAATTAACTATATATATCAAAAATATTATACCCGCACATATGTGCGGGCCAACGACCTAGTATATATTAATCTAATATCTTGTACATAAATGTTTTTTCATTGTTAAATTTATTTTTAAAATTAATTAAAATGCTATTTTGACATGTTATAACTGGTTATTCTAAATTTTAAATGAACATCTCTCCAAAGCTTATACCATCATTTGTTTTTTTTAGTTAATATTTGTTTGGTAGTTAGCCTAAATATCAAGCTAATTTTACTTTATACGAATTTTTTCTTTGATAATTTATCTCTCTTGATATTGATTTTTATTTTATTTTAACACACTATTGTTTTAAAAATATTGATATTTTGAAGACATAAATTTTTTGTTAGTTAAATATTTTTATATGAATTTTTTAAGTAGTTAGTCATATATCAAGTCAATATATTTTTAAGTGTTTTTTAAAAAAATAATATTTTATAAAACTTAATTTTCGTTTTTAGTTTTTTAGTTAATTAATTTTTAATATTAATTTCTTAAATAATTAGCTTAAATATTTATATTATTTTTGTTAGTGAAGTTTTTAGTATTATTTAAGTTTTTTTTTATTCTCTTACGTATACTGTTTATATTGATTTTGTTAAATAAATAAAATAGATATTAAGTTAATATCCTTTTTTGTTAATTTAACTTTCTCGATATGGACTTTCATTTTAATTGTATTAACATGTTGTAAGAAATAATTTATGTTTTGGTTTTTGTTAGTTAAACATTTTTTATATTGCTTTCTTCAGTAATTAGCATAAAGTATTATTTTTGGTTTGTTAAGATTTTTGTGTTAATTTTTTATATATTTCCCCCAAAATTATAAGTTGAAAATGACTTTCTTTTTTGATAATTTAAGATGAATATTTTTTTGGTAGTATTGATACTTTTAAATAACAATTTTATCTGTTTATATGAAAATTTAATATTAATATTTCTTCTAAATAAATTACTCATTAAAATATATATGCTAAATTTTTTTTAATTTAACTTTTTCGTTATTGATTTACATATTTGTTTTTGTTAGTTTAGTTTTGTGACAATGAGTTTTCATTTTATTTTCATAATAGATTTAGACTTTTGACATAAATTTATTTAATTTAGTTAAAAAAAATCATCTTAATTTTCCATTATATTATGATAGTTTTATAATATTGTATGTTTTAATTTATCTAAATTATTAATAATATTTTTTACTTTTTATTTTTAGTGAAAAACACTGATATAGACTAATCAGATTGAGTATATATGTCCTATGTGGATGTTCTCATTGGCCTAAGAAATCAACACAGACCACAACTAATATATTTTAAGTTAGCAGTTCTGATTTTAATTGTTTGTCGTATTTAAATTTTTAAAATAATTTAATTATGGTCTATGTTGCATAGAAACGGAAATGGATACGTGGAAGCGGAACGTTTCGAAATGCGGAAACGCTATTTTAAAAAAAAATTACAGAAATAGAAACGTTTTGGAAACGTATATATATATATATATATATTATATTAAGTATTAAAGATTTAATTATAAGTAGAATATTTAAATCCATAAAATCCAATATATAATTTTTACATAATTATTAAACTATAAAAATTAAAATATGTAAAGTCAAAAATTTAGAAGATTTTCTTTATTATAAATTTTATTATTTTCATTAACCAATCTATCTCTAATTCTAATTCATCCATAGAATAATTTTCAAACTTAATAATCTCAAAATTAATTTTAATTTCCAAATTAAAATATTTATTATTTACTACAAATAAGTAAATCGATTATTTAATTTAATTTTTATAATTATTTATTTGTTATATAAAAACAAGAAATTAGTTTTTATCTTCTTTCCAAAATGGAAACGCGTGTTTCTAAAATGGAAACGCGTTTCCAAAGTGTTTCCAAATTAGAATTTTTAGGAAACATGATTTTTCGTATTTTCGACGAGTTTCCGAGAGTTTTGGTTTTCGAAACGTTTCGGAAGCGGAAAACGTACCTCGGATGGAGTTTCCATGCAACCTAGATTATAGTTTTAAATGCAGTTTTTAATAATTTTGTTTAATATATATGATTTTTCTTTCATAATCTCTTTATTTGTTAATTTACCTTTTTATTGTTAATAGAAAAATAAGATCTATGTTTAGAACTCTTTTTTATTAATAACTAACTTAAAATTTAAAAATTTCCCTAATAACAACAAAAATAAAATTAATTAAAATATAGAAAATTTCCTTATAATAATTAAAATAAATTAATTAATTTTAATATACAATATATAATTAACTAAAAATAATGATGATGTGTACCAATAGAATTGAATCTTTAAATCATATGTGGACATCCTTGGAAACATTTAACATCAATTTTTATTAGTAATAGATGATTAAACATTGATGTTTTATTTTGTAATTAATGTTTTTTTGTTTTACAAAAGAATAAATCAAAATATAAATACTTTAGTTCATGTAACATCATAATTGCAAAACTTGAAAAAGAGAAAAAGTATTTGGAATATAATTATTATAAAAATAAAGTTAGAAAAAAATACTTTAAAAAAAATAGTTACAAAAAATCTGTCTTAATATATGTGTAATGTCTAAGATGACATATATCAAGAAAACAGAGAGAGAGTATGTATTTATTTCGAATTTTTCATATTATTAGTGGTTTAATAAAAAAAAAATATTATATTATTGTATCATATAGTTTTAAATATTTTGTGATATAACAAATTATATATAGATTTTAAAGTGTACATTCTTGCATATCACAATTATTTTTCAAAATATTTGTTTCAAGTTGATCTACATTCAAATTATTAAGAATTTGTGAATATATTTTAGATAATACATTTTTTTAATCCGTTTTGTTATCCGAATTTTACTTTCCATTATTATTGGATTTCTTTTGGATGTAGTTTTCCATCTTTCTAATTACTAATTTTTATTACATACTCGTAAAATTCTATCTTAAATCTCGAAATATTCATAGTTAATGTATATCATTATTTTTGGTTTTTATTTTATTTTGCATTTTTTGATTTTTTATTTTCTGACAATATATTATAATTATTTTTTAGTATTTACTATTTTTATATTGAATATTAATATTAATTTATATATTATAACTATCTTTTAATGTTTATTATTATATATTGAATATTAATGTTAATTTCTGTTTAAAAATAAAAAATAATTAATAATATGCATGTTGAGGTGGCACAGCGAAAGAGAAAAATTTTACATACAAAATTTTTTTAACTTCATCAAATAAAATTACTTAAAACTATTTATTGTTCAGAAAAAAAATTGGACAACTCAACTTTTTCGAAATAAATTTATTTATCTAATTAATTTAATCATTTCAAATATTTTAAGATTAAAATAATAATTTAACTACTATATTTTATAAATAAAAAAAAGAGTATATAAATACTTATAATATGAGAGCTTCTAGTACCCTTTTAAAGAAATATGTTTATAAGAGTTATTGAAACGAGCTTCCGAAAGCTTTCTATTCTGAAGCGGGAAGGGGACCTTTAAAGAAGATTCTATAAGAACAAGTACAATGCTAGTTTTTTAGCATAATATTTTAACAAAAATAATTAATAAAATAATAAAAAATAAAAGAGAGGAAGAAGAATTGGCTCTTAAATTTCTTGTTTAAGAAACTAAGTTTTTAAAAAAATCATTTAATATGTGTCATTTTATAATTGGTTTGAATTTTTTCATGATTTAAAAGTTAATATAACTTTCTTTAGCATTGTAAATGCTTTAAAAGTTAATATAACTTTCTTTAGCATTGTAAATGCTCTAATGTGTTTACACTCACAACCAGATTGAAAATAAATAGATTAAATAATCAAAAATTGAGACATGATATCTATATAACACCTGGCCCTATGCTGGGTTTGTCACAACAGAGAAACTAAAAGATTAGTTGTCAGACAAGATTTTTTTCTCTTTTAAAAAATGAAATTCGGGAAAGATTTCTCGTCGCAGGTGGTGCCGGAATGGCATAAAGCTTACATGGATTACAATTTTCTCAAGTCTCAATTAAAAGAAATCATCAAATTCAAACGCAAAAACAACCCTCACGGTCACGGCCATCATCACGGAGAAGGTCTTCGCCGGAAGTTGACTCTGCACCGATCATTCAGCGGTTTACTCTCAACGCCGGGACTAAAGAGACACCACCACGGCGGACACGGACACGGTGGTGGACAGATCGGTCATTCCTCAGATTACGACGGAGACATCGAGGAAGGATTGAAGTCAGCGCCGATTCTGGTGCACTCAGCGAGTCACGGCTACCAGACGACGTTTCTGATGGCGGCCGAGCAAGGAGGAGAGTACGAGACGGTGTTTTTCCGGCGATTAGACGACGAATTCAACAAAGTGGAGAAATTCTATAAAGAGAAAGTTCAAGAAGTGAAAAAAGAAGCTATGAGGCTTAACGGTCAAATGGATGCTCTTATCGCGTTTCGGGTGAAAGTAGAGCATCCTGATGGGTGGCCGGGGGAAGAACGGACGGTGGAGATGACTCGGTTTGCTTCTGGTGTCGCTAATTCCGCGGCGGTCGTCGCTGCTTCTACTCCCGCCGGAGCTAGATCCAGTAAGTAACCTAACTCTGTGAGACGATGAAAACTTCCAATTGTTTTTGTTTCTTTCTTGCTCCGCTTTTATCCAAGCGTTCGTACTGCTACGGTGCTACCTCCGATTTTGTTGCAACAACCAACGAGTAGTGGCACCGGTTTGATTACCGGTTTCATTGAACCATAATGTACCGGGTCTCAGGATTAAAATTTGATTATTGTAAATTCCGGTTTGGCAGCAGTGAGGGCTGGAGCTCAGTCTCACATGGAGGTAATCCAGGAAGGAGGATCGAGCAAAGCTGGTAAATCCGACGAAGATGACGATGATATCGTCGTCTCCGACGTGGCGGCCGGCGACATAAGTCGACTGAAAGCTGCGAGGCCATCTCCGATCGAGGTTTTGGATCGAGTTAAGATCAATCACACCAAGGATACGCCTCGGTCCACCATTAAAGGCGTTCTCCAGCTCTCGAACACGGAGACTAATTATACCAGAGATAATCTGAGGGGTTACGAGAAGACGCTCAGGCGCGCCTTCGTCGAGTTCTACCAGAAGCTTCGGCTACTCAAGAGCTACAGGTGCGTACTCGTATACGTTGAAACTTGAGTGGTCAAAATGATTGATTCTTTGAAAAAAAAACTGAATAGAAAATACATGCAGCTTTCTGAATGTGTTGGCGTTTTCGAAGATACTGAAGAAGTATGATAAGGTAAGATTTTGTTAGAGATTGTGAGATTTTGGTTTTCGAATATATATATTTTTTTTTGTTCGCATGACTGAAAGGTGTTGGACGAAATAACTCTTTAACAGATAACTTCGAGGCATGCGAGAGAGTGTTACATGAAGATGGTTGATAACTCTAACCATGGAAGGTCTAATGAGGTATAAAGTCTTCTTTGATTTTATTTTGATTGATAATTCTTTATGTCTCTCCTAAAAACTGATCTTCTTCTATTGCCACAGGTGATAAGACTCATGGAGCGTGTTGAAGCTTCGTTCATAAAGCACTTCACAAATGATAACAGATCAATAGGAATGAAAATCTTAAGACGTGAAGCTAAAAGAGAGAGACATCGTATTACATTCTCCACAGGTCAAATTCATTACACTTTCTTTCTCTTTTTTTTTTTTTGGTTGTCTTCTCCTATGTTAGTTTCTAAACTCGAGGATTCGATTTTTAGGTTTCTTGGGCGGATGCGTTTTTTCACTAGTAGTGGCTCTAGTCGCCATCATACGCACCCGACACATTTTGCACGAAGGCCAAGAACAGTACATGAACACTATGTTCCCTCTTTACAGGTAAAACTGATTTGCCTCTCTTCTTACTAATTTGTACCGAACGTTTAAGGTGGAACTTGTTGTTTAGTTGCGCTTTCTCGGTTTGTTCTTGCAGCTTGTTTGGGTTCATCGTGCTGCACATACTAATGTATGCTGGAAATATATACTATTGGAGGCGGTATCGAGTGAATTATTCTTTCATATTGGGGTTCAAGCATGGAACTGAACTTGGCTATAGACCAGTTCTACTTGTGGGATTCAGCATTGGAGTCTTAGCGCTTCTTTGTGTTATTGCCAATCTCGACATGGAGGTTGACCCCGAAACTAAAGAATACAAAGCACTAACCGAACTTCTTCCTCTTTTCCTCCTCATTGTAAGTCCTGTATATATCCAAATTAAGTCGGCTTTTGAATGCGAAACTCAGAGCAGGTGCAATGCTGAGGAACTCAAAAAAAGTATCTAAACTTGATTTAAAATAATTAATTAATTTGTAACCATCTAAAACTGGAAATGTGAACTACTACATTATTTTTCATTTTCTTAAGACTTGATTTTTAGAGCAATCCTAAAAGAGAATTTTGGGTGTCTAAAGTAAAAAATGTTAATAATAAAAATAAATAAAAAAATAGTGAAAAGATCTAAAATAAGACACTCAATATCTAAAATAAAATATTTTTTGAGTTAAGACACCTAATATCTAAAATAAAATAATAAAATATTTTTAAAAACTTTTTAATGAATTCTCCATTAGAGTTGGTCTTATTGTTCCTAAATAAGAATCACTTTTTATTTTCTCTCTCATCTTTCTATTATTTTACTGTTTAGGATCCCTTAAAATTTTGTTAAGAACTCTGCGTTGCACATGCTCTCAGCTGTATATGACAATGTTAACAGTGTAACTTTTGTGATATAGGTTCTGTTTATAGTCCTAATCTTACCATTCAACATAATCTATCGCTCGAGTCGCTTATTCTTCCTCACATGCCTCTTTCACTGCCTTGCTGCTCCTCTCTACAAGGTAGTAACAGAAAATGAACTGCTCGTTGATCATGCAAAAGAGATATATTGATTATTTTAAATCCTAATACTCTATATTGCCTTCTCCTGCAGGTAACTTTACCTGATTTCTTGTTGGGCGATCAGCTAACAAGTCAGGTGCAAGCTCTTCGAAGCATCCAGTTTTACATATGTCACTACGGTTGGGGAGATTACAAACATAGAATGAACACTTGCACAGACTCAGATGCCTACAATGCTTTCTTATTCATTGTTGCTGTCGTCCCATACACCTGGCGTCTCCTTCAGGTACAAAGTTTCTCCAGACGAAATCTCTCAATACTTTATTTCATTCATGTAAGATTTTGCTAAAAAAACGGGAAGACTTGTGTAGTGCATGAGGCGGCTGTTTGAAGAGAAAAACGCAGAACAAGGATACAATGGCCTCAAGTACTTCTTGACTATAGTGGCTGTTTGCTTGAGGACGGCTTACAGTGTCGTCGACGAGGATCATCAATTTGTCTGGAGAATGTTGGCTGTGATCTTCTCAGCTATTGCTGCCATTTTCTGTACTTACTGGGACTTAATCTATGATTGGGGTCTTCTCAACAGGACATCCAAGAACCGTTGGCTCAGGGATAAACTCCTTATCCCGCAAAAGAAAGTCTACTTCATCGCCATGGTGAGCATAAACTGTATATTAAATAAGCCTCATCATTTTGAATCCTAGAGCAAAACTGATCAATAAAACTGTGCAGATCTTGAACATCTTGCTCAGATTCGCGTGGCTACAGACCGTGCTGGATTTCAACTTCTCCTTCATGCACAGACAGACGATGGTTGCTGTTGTTGCCAGCCTAGAGATTATCCGCCGTGGGATATGGAATTTCTTCAGGTAACAACATATATATTATTGCTGTTTTCTTCATCGTGTGTTCGCTCTTTACCGTTCCATAACATATAATATATAACTTTATTGGTTTGTTTTGGTTTTGGTTCTATTCAAAACAGGTTAGAGAACGAGCATTTGAACAATGTTGGGAAGTACAGAGCGTTCAAGACGGTTCCATTACCGTTTAACTACGACGAGGATGACGACAAGGACAACTAATGATATAATTAGATGGTATGACAAAATAAGCTAAAAAATATGTGTACGATAGGCCATTATATCGGTGTAGGAAAAAGGGAACCAAATGCAGACGCTACTCATATTTAATTGTATATAGTGGACTAATGTAGTAATATTAGTCAATAGTCAATAGTCAATAGACTCAATACTAGTTCAATATTTTATAGTTTATATATTGTCTATAACTTTTTTTTTCAAATCACATTTATAGTACAATTTAACTTGCATTGATTTTAAGAGTTAGAGAATTATTAATTTTGTAGAACTGTTTTTCATAGTATATATCTATATATTCATAGTATTATGAAATTACGTTTTAAAAATTGTGTAGAATTTATATCCTAATTTTACAAAAAATGAATATAGAAATGAATCATAATCAATACTTTTGAATAATAAATGATTTTCGATAGGATATAAAAAAAAATCTGTAAAAGTCCATATATTACTAGTGTAACCCTTTATTGTTGGTAGGCTGTTTTGCTTATAAGTTAGGCTTATCTATGTTAATACAGTTTATTTAAAAATAAAAATATATTTATATGTCACATTGTTAATTGCAGAGTAGTTGAGATATCTAACATTTTCAAAAAAAAAAAATCAAAACTTTTCTTCAGATTTTTAAAATCTCACAAATTATCATATATTTTCACAAGTTTTTAAGAATTTAAAATTATTTTAAACATAATCGATGTCAGAGTGTTTCTTATTCAATTTAATTTTCAAAAAGTAACAGGTAAAAATAGTTAAGAATGTTAATCTCGTCATTACAGATTAAAAATAATAAATAATGAATGATGCATCAAATACAACATGGGTTAGACTTCAATGAATCTAACTAATGTAATTATGATGCTGTCTATGATCTAAATAGGAATCAAACAAAGGAAGGATGAATACTGCATAACTATTTGGAGACAAAATATTGGGATTCTGCCAAATTGATGTTTGCACCGTGCACATCAATACTTGAAGTAGAAGGCAAAGCTTTATTGATGTATCTCAAGCATGGGATATGATAATATTTTTTTTTTTTGGTTAAATATATGATAATATTTGTTACGAAGGAGATTGTCTCTTGTCACTGAATTTGTAAATCTAGTTGAAGATATAAAGCTTTGGAGTATAAAATTCAAGAATTTGAACTTTAACGTTTCGTACATCTCTTAGTTCAGCCAATAATATTTTTTTGGTTATGTTTTTGTTAGTTTAACTTTCACAAATATAATAGTATCATAACTATGATTTCAAAATAAATAAAAAATTATGTTTTGTCAGAAAAAAAACAAATCAAAATATTTTCTGTAATATTTCAAATACTCCATGTCTATATATATAAACTATGTTGCAAAATCTAACAATTGTCACAGGAGTATCACACATATCAGTATATCACTCGAATGTCTGTTTATGTTTGAGTACTTCAGTTTATGTTTGATCATGCGTACCCAAAATATCCATGCCGATGTCTTTGCTAAAAAAGCATAAGTATAAAGTATTATTTTTTCTATGGTAAATTATGATGGACTGATTTATTTGACTCGTAGAGATCATCATCAAATTGGTATGCTTTGATTTAATTTATGAAGTTTGTTGAAAAAGAAAATCAGTATATCACTCAGATCGCGCCATAACTCTACAATTTCACATATTGCAACGGACGCCTTTTTCAGCCACCTCAATTCCTATCTGGCGAATTTAATGCAAACAACTCTTCTCTCTCGGAGATCTTTTGGTCTTTTAGATTAAACAGAAAATAGTTTCCTTTTATTTTGTTGGTCGGAAGTATAAAGTAGTTTCTAATAGCCAAAAAACAAAACAAAACTTTACTTCTGGATTGATATCTCAAAAACAAATTGCCAGCAAATTATGTTTAACAGCTGTTGTCTGTTTAATTCTAATAAAAAAGAAGTTTAGAATTTTTAAAAACTCTATTAATCTTCTTATCTCTAATTAACCTCAAATAATTATCTTTCATATATTTCAGCTGTTAAATTAATCTTCTTTTTATTTTTAATTTGAATAACTCGGATTTGATATCTCAAAGTTTTTCTAATAATTTAACAGCTGTGCATGTTTTATTCGTTTATAATTATTTGAGGTCCGTGGGGCAATCCACACGCGCTTTGGTTGCTCGTTCTGAAAACATTGGTAAATGTGTTTGAACTCTCAACCATATTGAAAAGAAATAAATTAAATAATCAAAAATTGACGCATGATTTATATATATATATATATATATATATCACACACCTATACTGCTATACAGAGGTTTTGTCACTGGTTAGTACATGATCTACATTTTCCTGTCTTCTTCGCTCTTAATTCAGACAACAGAGAAACTAAAAGATTTGTTTTCGGACAAGGTTTTTTTTTTGAAATCTGAGAGTAAAAATGAAATTTGGGAAAGAGTTCTGGTCGCAAATAGTGCTGGAGTGGCATGAAGCTTACAATTTTAACTAGTGATCATTAAATTAATAATAGAAATAAATAGAAAAATGAATGAAAAGACTAAAATAATAGAAATTATTGTTCTTTTTATTTTTATAAGAAATATATTAACATTATAGTTCTTTAAAATATAAAAAATGAAAAAGAATTATGGGTACAGTATTTTCTTTTTAAATAATGTAATTTTTAAGAAATGATAAAGAATCTAGTGTTTTTTCCTTTTCTTATGGTCACCAGTTAGAAGTTAGAACTTACATGAATTACAGTTCTCTCAAGTCTCACTTTGAAAGAAATCATCAAACTCAAATGCATAAACAATCATCACGGTCACGGCCATCATCACGGAGAAGGCCTTCGCCGGAAGCTGACTCTTTACCGATCATTCAGCGGTTTACTCTCAACACCAGGACGAAAGAGACATCACCACGGCGGACACGGACACGGTGCTGGACAGATCGGCCATTTCACAGATTCTGACGTCGACATCGAGGAAGGATTGCTAGTACTCTACACATTAATCAATTTTACTCAGTCGTGTTTTTCTTAATTTTATTGTAACTTTACTTTAAATTTCATTTGCGTTTAGTAGCACCGTATCTTGGTTTTGTTTTGGTTGGTAAAAACAGGTTGGAGAACGAACATTTAAATAATGTCGGGAAGTACAGAGCATGCAGGACGGTTTCATTACCATTGGAGTACGACGAGGACCAATAAATGTTTTCTTAAGGATAACGTAATTCGTAACGATCTTTATTCTTAACGTACGGAGTACAGTAATCTAATCGGCTTTAGCTGATATAGCACATGTCACATGTGTATGTATATATTAGTATATCCGAAAAGGACACTAGTCAATTTACGGTCAAATCGAATTGGTCAATAAAATTCAACCATGGTATATACTTATAAATATTTATAATTTTATATTTTAATGATATGCCTTTTTTTTTTTCAAATATACCAGTGATATGTCTATTTATGTTTTTCTGATCCAAGTAAAGTATCTATCGAGTACCGAGTCGTCGTCATGCGTGTACTGAAATAACATTTTTTTTTTTTCGTCGTATAGTATGAACTAACTTCTTCTTTTGGCAAAGTCATTTTTTTATTCGTCAACCTAATTTAATCTATTACTAATTCATAAAGAAAGTATAACCTAACACGGGGTAGAAAACATGGGCTTCTAAAGAGTTTAATAAGAGCACTATTTATAAGAAGGAAAGCCGAATAAATCTTGGAGAAAAAAGAGATACGCAAAGTCTAATAATTCCATAGTTCTTTTTGGCTTTTGATGCTCTTTTATGCTTTTTTGATGGAACTTTCTCCCTCGATAATTAATACTATAGAAAAGAAAAAGCCTTTTAATAAAGGGAAACTAAATAGAAAAGTATACAAAGAAATAAGAAAGTAACGTAATACAAAAACTGAGACGTGTAAAGTGAGGAAAAGTTATAAAAAAAAATGAGGTTCAGAGACCCCATGCTGCCTAGTTATACGTACTAGAATAACTTTTTTTTTGTCAACACGTACGTACTGGAATAACTTTAAGACGATGAAAGATTAAAAGTATTATTTGATTACTGGACGAAAGAAAGTTATGACAACTTTTTTACGGTCAAAACTTATTTGGGGGAATATAGCGATTTCATCTAGTTGTTCATTTTTCTTTTTATTCGTATAAAGCGATCTCACATAACTTATTATATCTTTTAATTTCATATCTTTTGTCCATCATCCAGTCGCTGCACTCTGTAAAGATTTATATACAAACGCGGTACCTGTTACTAGATTTCAAACTTGCGACTACTCGAAAAATCGAAAATGTAAATTACTCTAGGAAACAACGTGATATGGTAATAAAATTTTGTTGGAGCCCCCATCTCTTTTAATAAAAGTATTAATGAACTCAACAACGGAGATGGAACTTCTAGACGGGAAAAGCATGATTACACTATTAACCGACATATTTGACAAGAAGAGTCAAAAGATTGTCTCCGTAACCATCGCCGGCGGAATACAAATCAAATTGAAAGGGACAATTGATACAAAGACTCGTAACGGCTTCAAATCTACATCACAATTTCCCTACTCTTCCATTTTATACAATCATGTTCAAGTAATGAGGATTTTAAAATAAATATCATAAAAGTAATTCCAAATACTATTACTATGTGTCTATGTAATATGAGGTTAAGAACAAATTAATTAGTAGTCATAGGATGCCTATGTTAGCCTTCAATCTTAAACAGTGCAAGAACTATATAGACTTGTCAATAAGTCGATAAGAATCGCTCATTCATGTGAAAGACAACCACTAATGCCACATTAGATTTAGCAATTATGATGTCCCCAATCAGGCATTCAAAAATAGCAAATAAAATTATGGACATTATATTATTGAATATTTGAAATGTAAATCCTAATTACATGTTTAACCTGACCAATTGTTGCTTTTTTTTTTTTATCAAACCGATGCTTTCATTAATAAATTAAACCGGGGTTAACCAAGAGTTTAAAGCACTTTTGGCTAAAGTATCAGCTGTCAAATTCGCTTCTCGTGAAACAAACACAAAAGAAATTGCAGAGAAAAGGTTCGATAAGGAGATGATATCGTTGACGATACCGTGGAGCTCCAGTTATGGAGTCTCTGAGATGATGACTTTTATCATTTTTAGTGAATCTGAAGCTACATGAATTTTGTGATACCCAGATCATGGATTTGTTGGAGGGCAAGAAGGATCACAGTCGCTTCCGCCATGAGGGGTGATCGGATGTTGCACGCCGTCGAGGAGGATTTGCGGAGCCAAGGTCTGTGGTTTGTCTTTATGATCTAGCCGAAACCTGCTAATTTTGTAGATTCATTCCATGCTGCGTCGGTAATACATCTCGCCGTGTCGAAATCGATCTGTTGAGGCGATGTTGGGAGGTTCACCTGGGGAGACCTTGATGTTCGTAGTTGGGCCTCTTGCCATCCGTGTGCTGAGAGTATTGCGTGCTGGATACATTCTGAGGAGGAAATTGGTTTGGATTCAAATTTCAGCTTATTCCTTGCTAGCCAAACAGATCAGATAATCCAAGGGCAAGAGGGGTTTCCGTAAGATCCATCGGGGGAAGATTTATGGAGTTTTTCAGCTTTTCGAGACCTTGCCGGAAGCTAGTAAGCATTGACGTCTGCAGAGGTGTTTTGAGGGGAGCAAGATTCCAAACCTCTGTTGCAAACAAACAGTGGAAGAAGGAGTGTAAGTCCGTTTCCACTTCATTGCATCTAGGATAGGACAGTAGCTTTGGACATCGATATGTCTGTCATGCAGGTTTGCTCCTAGTGGTATAGCTTTGTGCATGATCTTCCATAGAAATAGTTTGATTTTTGGAGCGCACTTGATATCCCAAATCTCAGATTTCTACTGGAAGCCTATGGTAGTTGGTTGTTGTTAGTCCTCCGGTTGTTCTTTAGAGGCCTCATAATATCCTGATTTTGTAGAGTAGGTTCTAATTTTATAGGCTAACCAAACATACTTGTCTTCTGCTCCCCGTTTACTCGGTTTTAGCTCTCTGATCATATGCGCATAACCTGACTAATTGTTGCTTTAGTTTTGTTTTTTTTTGTTTTTTTTGAACTCTTTGTTTCTACCTTTTAAATATTATTGAGATGAAAAGAAATTATATGTAAAACATTTTAAAATATTAGTTCACATTCTGAAATAACCAATTTTGATCATTTATAATATAGTAGTCGAAAAACCTATTTACCAAATTTGCGAATAGATCTAAAATTTATGAGAGAAATTGAATTTTGATCTAGATTTATAGATAACTTTTCAAAGAATGACAAATACTGTGTTTTGTGATATCTAAAATAAGTAGAAAGTGACAAAGAAAGAAATTAAAATTGTAGTTATTTATGTTAAAATTCTAATTAGTTTTTTTGAGAAAATAAAAACATTAGTATTGAAAACTATGAGTGATATTTGATAGTTTGACGTCAGTGTTTCTTTTTAAATAATTTCAGGTAATATAAAAATAAATTAAAGTTTGGGGTCTGTACTTTTAACTTACTATCCACAAGCATAAAAATATATTTTGAATTTAACGAAGCGGATCGCTCTTGTCAGATTAGATCATATAATTTGTGAATACTTAAACCATAATTTTTTCCTAATGGTTAAAATTATTGTGTCCTTTTGTTTGTTTGGTAGAGAAAATGGGACCGTGTTATTTGGAATTGATGGATACTTTTTTAAGCCCATATAGATTGACGTTTGCAGCTTCGATGTCACATACGAGTATGTGGAGGTGGTCAAACCAAGACGAGGATATTTATTTTGTATTTGATGTGAAGTTAAAATAACTTACCGTCAAGATCGAAGACTGAGATCTTCAAGAATAGATTTTGTAGAGATACAAACTTTAAACTATATAAATAAATAAAATACTTTAAACTATCACATGAGAGAGTGATACATATAAGTAGTTTCTTAACTTGATAAAAGCAAGTGGGAACTGTCAACTGTACAATCATTATCACCAACTAATGATATAATTTTGGTCAAAAAAAAACTACTGATATAATTAGATAGTAAGACAAAATAAGCTAAGAAATATGTGTACGGTAGGCTATATATATATAATCGGTGTAGGAAAAAGGGAACCAAATGCAGACGCTATATTTAATTGTATATAGTGGACTAATATAGTAAAATTAGTCAATAGTCTCAATAGACTCAATGGTCAATATAATTCAATATTATATAGTTATTTTATAGTAGTTTATATGGATACTTGTCTAAAATGTCTTTTCAAATCACATTTTAGTAGAGTTTAATTTTTTTTTTTCATCTAAATTTTACTACCAAAATGAGATACATGAAAATACAATTCAATAAATAAAATAAAAAGGATAAAAATCACGACACTACAAAACGGACGTATTTTTTAGCCACCTAATGATCATTATCATGGTTAATTAATATCTGGCGAATTTAATGCAATCAACTAATGATCTTTTGGTGTATTAAAAATTTAGAATTAAACAGAAAATAAAGTTTGATTAGTAATAGCTGTAATTTTATATTTTTGTTAATAGTTATAAATTGTGAAATTTAGATTTTATTACTATAAGATTTTTTCTTTATAATTGTGAAATTTTAAAAATAGAAAATTATATGATTTAGAACAAATTTTTTGTATAGCAAAACAAATAACTGAAAAAAATAAATATTTTGGTTGTCTATAAAACAAAGAAAATATAAAGTTTGATGGATCTATATATGTAGAATTTAGAATATTTTTTTTACTGTATACAGCTTGCAAAATATTTGCCAATCAAGTCCAAATTTTTTTATTTGGGTCGGAAGTAGAAATTAGTCTTCTAATAGCAAAAAAGAAAAAAATCTCCAAATTAATCTTCTTTTTATTTTAAATTTGAATAACTCGGATTGATGATATCTCAATTTTTTAAATAATTTAATAGCTGTGCGTGTTTTATTCGTTTATAATTATTTGAGGTCCGTGGGGCAATCCACACGCGCTTTGGTTGCTCGTTCTGAAATCATTGGTAAATGTGCTTGAACTCTCAACCATATTGAAAAGAAATAAATTAAATAATCAAAAATTGACACATGATTTTTATATATATATAACACACACCTATACAGGTTTTGTCACTGTTAGTACATGATCTTCATTTCCCTGTCTTCTTCGCTCTTAAATTCAGACACAACAGAGAAACTAAAAGATTAATTTTCAGACAAGGATTTTTTTTTCTTTTTTGCAATCTGAGAGGAAAAAATGAAATTCGGGAAAGAGTTCTCGTCGCAAATGGTGCCGGAATGGCATGAAGCTTACATGAATTACAGTTCTCTCAAGTCTCACTTGAAAGAAATCATCAAATTCAAACGCAAAAACAATAATCACGGTCACGGCCATCATCACGGAGAAGGTCTTCGCCGGAAGTTGACCCTGTACCGATCATTCAGCGGTTTAATCTCAACACCAGGTCGAAAGAAACATCACCACGGCGGTCACGGACACGGTCACGGACACGGTGGTGGACAGATCGGCCATTTATCAGATTCCGACGACGACATCGAGGAAGGATTGAAGTCAGCGCCGATTCTCGTGCACTCGGCGAGTCACGGCTACCAGACGACGTTTCTGATGGAGGCGGAGGAAGGAGGAGAGTACGAGACGGTGTTTTTCCGGCGATTAGACGACGAATTCAACAAAGTGGAGAAATTCTATAAAGACAAAGTTCAAGAAGTGGTTAAGGAAGCTATGATGCTTAACAAACAGATGGATGCTCTTATCGCGTTTCGGGTGAAAGTTGAGCATCCTGATAGCTGGCCGTGGGAAGAACGGACGGTGGAGATGACTCGATTAGCTTCTGATGTCGCCAGTTCCGCCGCGGCCGTCGCTGCTTCTACTCCCGCCGGAGCTAGATCCAGTAAGTAACCTACCCAATTTCCCCGGTTTTACTTACGGTTTTATCGAACCGTTACCGTACCGCAATCATTACATTGAAATTGATTTTGTTTCTTTCTTGCTCCGCTTTTATCCAACCGTCCGTACTACCTACTACTACCCCACCTCTCTTATTTGTTCCAGCAAGTTATGACACCGGTTTGACTAAACCATAATGTACCGAGTCTCAAAATTTCAATTTTGATTATATTCAATTCCGGTTTGGTTGCAGTGAGGGCTGGAGCTCAGTCTCACATGGAGGCAATACAGGAAGGAGGATCGAGCAAAGCTGGCAAATCCGAGGAAGATGACGATGATAATGATGTAGAAAAAGAAGAAGATAACGTCGTCTCCGACGTGGCGGCCGGCGACACAAGTCGTCTGAAAGCTGCGAGGCCATCTCCGATCGAGGTTTTGGATCGTGTTAAGATCAACCATACGAAGGAAACGCCTCGGTCCACCATTAAAGGCGTTCTCAAGGCCTCGAACACGGAGCTTAAGTTTAGCAGAGATAACCTGAGGAGAGTCGAGGAGAAGCTCAGACGCGCCTTCGTCGAGTTCTACCAGAAGCTTCGGCTACTCAAGAGCTACAGGTGCGTACTCTTGGATGATCAAAATGCTTGATTCTTTGGAATTTATGATTGATGAATATGAAATTGAATGTGCAGCTTTTTGAATGTGTTGGCGTTTTCGAAGATACTGAAGAAGTATGATAAGGTAAGATTTGCTTAAAGGTTGAGATTTTGTTCTTCGAAGGTTTTTTTGTTCGCATGACTGAAAGGTGTTCGACGAAATTACTCTGAAACAGATAACCTCGAGGCATGCGACAAAGTCTTACATGAACATGGTTGATAACTCTTACCATGGAAGCTCTGATGAGGTAATAGTGTCTTATTCTTTTCGATTTGAGTTGGTTTTGTAATTCTTTATGTCTCTCCTAAAAACTGATCTTCTCTTGCTCCTCCATTACCACAGGTGGTTAGACTCATGGAGCGTGTTGAAGCAACGTTCATAAAGCATTTCACAAATGGTAACAGAACAAAGGGAATGAACATCTTGAGACCCAAAGCTAAAAGAGAGAGGCATCGTATTACATTCTCCACAGGTGGAGTTCATTAAACTTTTCTCTCTTTTTCTTCTCCTCCTCCTTCAAGTCTTTGCGTGTCAGTTTCTAAACTCGGGATCCGATTTTCAGGTTTCTTAGGCGGATGCGTGTTTTCTCTAGTGGTGGCTCTATTCGCCATCATACGCACCCGACACATTTTGCAGAAGGAAGGCCAAGAACAGTACATGAACACCATGTTCCCTCTTTACAGGTAAACCTGATTTGCCTCTCTTCTTACTAATTTAGACGTTCATAAAGCAGTTAAGGTTGGATTTGTTGTTTAGATGCGCCTTCTTTGCTTGTTCTTGCAGCTTGTTTGGGTTCATCGTGCTGCACATACTAATGTATGCTGGAAATATATACTACTGGAGGCGGTATCGAGTGAATTATTCTTTTATATTGGGGTTTAAGCAAGGAACTGAACTTGGCTATAGACCAGTCCTACTTGTGGGATTCAGCATTGGAGTCTGTGCGCTTCTTTGTGTTATTGCCAATCTTGACATGGAGGTTGACCCCGAAACCAAAGATTACGAAGCATTAACCGAACTTCTTCCTCTTTTCCTCCTCATTGTAAGTCCCCGTATATATATATATCCAAAAGTCAGCGTTTGAATGCGAAACTCAGCTGTATATGACAATGTTAACGTGGTAACTTTTGTGATATAGGTTCTGTTGATAGTCCTAATCTTACCATTCAACATAATCTATCGCTCGAGTCGCTTATTCTTCCTCACATGCCTCTTTCACTGCCTTGCTGCTCCTCTTTACAAGGTAGTAGCAGAAACTGAACTTGCTCGTTGATCATGCAAAAGAAACATTGATTATCTTGAATACTAATACTCTATATTGCCTTCTTCTGCAGGTGACTTTACCTGATTTCTTGTTGGGCGATCAGTTAACAAGTCAGGTGCAAGCTCTTCGAAGCATCCAGTTTTACATATGTCACTACGGTTGGGGAGATTACAAACATAGACTAAACACTTGCACAGACTCAGATGCCTACAATGCTTTCTTATTCATTGTTGCCGTCGTCCCATACACCTGGCGTCTCCTTCAGGTACAAAGTTTCTTCAGACAAAATCTCTCAATACTTTCTTTCATTCATGTAAGATTTTGCTAAAAAACGGGAGACCTGTGCAGTGCTTGAGGCGTCTGTTTGAAGAGAAAAACGCAGAACAAGGATACAATGGCATCAAGTACTTCTTGACTATAGTGGCTGTCTGCTTGAGGACGGCTTACAGTGTCGTCGACGAGGATCATCAATTTGCATGGAGGATATTAGCTGGGATCTTCTCAGCTATTGCTGCCATTTTCTGTACGTACTGGGACTTAGTCTATGACTGGGGTCTTCTCAACAGGACATCCAAGAACCGTTGGCTCAGGGATAAACTCCTTGTCCCGCAAAAGAACGTCTACTTCATCGCAATGGTGAGCACAATCTATAGATATATTAACAAGCCTCATCATTTTAAATCCTTGAGCAAAACTGATTCTTATTTCTCAAAAAAAAAAAAAAAAAAATGCAGATCTTGAACATCTTGCTCAGATTCGCATGGCTTCAGACCGTACTGGATTTCAACTTCAAATTTATGCACAGACAGACGATGGTTGCTGTTGTTGCCAGTCTAGAGATTATCCGCCGTGGGATATGGAATTTCTTCAGGTAACTACATATATATTACTGCATTTTTGGTTTTTTTTTTACCGTCTCATAACATATAATATAACATCATTGGGTTGGTTCTGGTTCCATTCAAAACAGGTTAGAGAATGAGCATTTGAACAATGTTGGGAAGTACAGAGCGTTCAAGACGGTTCCATTACCGTTTAACTACGACGAGGATGACGACAAAGACAACTAGTTCTTCGACCTCATGTGTTTTGAGTTATGTAAAGACAGATTCTTCAACTATATTCATCCACAAAGAGTATGAGGAAGACGAAGACTGGATTAGCTGGTCAGTCGAGATCAAATCGGAGATGTTACAGTTAGGGATTTGTAAGAGTTGGTGTCAACCTTGTAGTTGATTCTAGGAGAAACTATCTAATTCCTAGATTAAACATTGTATTTAGAGTCAATGTAAGAGGAGGAATGTAGCAAATGTACTCTGATTTTCTCGTTTTGAGTTATCAAATATCACAAGTAGAGCGAAAAGACATCTAACATTCCACACTAATCGTTCAAAAACAAGAACACTCTAGTTTCATTCAAGGAAACATTCATTGGTATCATCAACAAAGCAAGGACCTTTTAAACCAAATTATTTCAACAGTAATAAATCAAAAACATTCCAAGTTACAAAATGCAACATTGAATGAACATAACATGCTGCTACCGATTTAAGTTGTGATGATAATCCCTTACTTACCTTTGGAATCCTCTGCTTCCTTCTTCTTAGCCGCCGCCGCAGCCACCGCCTCCTCCGCCGTTTCCAGATCCTTTAACGCATGCTTTAACATCTGTGTTAAAGCCGTTTTCTGCTCAACGAGGTACGTTCCATAGTAATCGATGTTAGCATACATACACGTCGTAAGCTTCATTCTTGCATCTCGACATTCTTCATCCTCCACGCAGTTATCAACTTCTGTGAATGAATCCTTGCACTCACCTCCTTTAAGAAACCGACGAAGCCAACACTCTTCACAGTCTTCCTCTGCCTTGCTATTAGTTTGAGTCAGCTTATCTTGTTCAGAATTTACGTTTTCGGATTTGTTTGGATCTTGCGGATTGGGAGATGATTCTCCTGCTTGATTAGCCAATGGATCGTTACCACTTTTAGCTTTATCCATAGAGGACATACTGTGGTCTGAATCGTCTGATTCTGATAGATGAGTTAGGTTGCAAGTCAAGAACACAAGCGAAAGCTTTTATATAACCCCTCTAAAACCCTTTTATCACGCAAATTTAATCATGAAAAATAGTTGTATCTTTGATCGTTTAGAAGGAAGCTAATTTTCTAAAAGTTATGAAGATTTCCTAAAACAAATTTTGGTAGCTTTGGAAAACAATTATTTTATGGTAATATGAGATATTTTTCCTCAACTATCTATTTTACTAAAAGTCTTGGAGGTATTGATACTAAAATTTTAGAGAATTTGAAAAGATTTAAGTTTTAATAAAGTTTTAGATGATTTTATGTGGATTATGAAAGTTATATGATTTGATTTTAAAATTATATTTAATTCCACCTAAAACAATGGGATTTAATTTTCTATATTTTTAACTAACAAACTCCATCAAATTATTCAAAAGTACTCAATATTTTATAAAATCCACTATTTAAAATATTTCCAATAACAGTAGATTTGATTTAGTTTTTACAAATTCTTGATTGAATAATATAGATGTTGAAATGCATTAACTTAAGACAGTTATTAGATTTGATTGGTTATTGCTGTAACTTTAGTTTTTTTACTGTAAAATAAAGTTGTAACTTGTTTTGCCGTGACTGTAGATTTTAATTCTGTAGATTTTAGTGCTGAAGGATTTTTAATTTTTCAAATGACTTGATTGGTTATTGTTGTAGCTTTAGCTGTTTTGGCTGTATAAATAAAGTTGTAAGTTTTTTTGTGCTGTGCCTGTAGATTTTAATTATGTAGATTTTAGTGTTGTAGGATTTTTAATTTTTCAAAGCCAAAATATATTGCTTTACATATTTTGCCTAGTATAGTTAAAAATTTTTTTTTAAAAAAAGAAAGATCTGTAGCTTTAAAAAAATATATATAAAGCATGATTGAAAAAAAATTAGTGCTTTTTAAAAAATAATGGCTGTGTACAGATTCTACAGCACTTACCAGCCAAATTTTAATATTTTACATATTTTGCTTTGTATAGCAAAAAAAAAAAAAAAAAAAAAAAAAAATCTATAGTTTTTAAAAATCTACGCAAAACATGTTTGGAAAAAAAATTGTACTTTAAAAAAGTTATGGCTGATTCTACAGCACTTACCAATTATTATTCTTTTTGTTTTCTGTCAAATTTTAACAAGTCACGAGAAGAGCGAATTGTTACAATAGGGTTAAAAATTAACATTACAGAGTTTATGGTTTAAAGAGTAATAATGTAGAAGCCAGAGGACCTTCAAAATTGAAATTGATGTTTTCAATTAATAAAGTCAGTCGTGGAGTTATGTCCGAATAAATAAAGTAATGAAGTCGGTGACTGTCTTCGCCAATATCAATCTATGGATCAGAATCCGTACAGGAGGAAATCGTCTCCGATCAGAACCACAACCGGCGGTTCAAACTCCGTCGGTTACTCACAACTACTTCCGATGAAGTTTCTCAGCTCAGGCACGATGAAGCTCACGAGAACCTTCGCTACTTGCTTGATACTCTTCTCTGTGCTATTAGCATTCTCAATGATCTTCCATCACCACCCATCTGATCCTAATCGGATAATGGGTTTCGCTGAGGCAAGAGTTCTCGAGGGCAGAGACTACTCCAATGTTACTACTATCGGTACGTTTTTTTTGTATGTGTGTTGTTCTTCAAAGTCAAAGTTTTGAGCTTTACGGGTTTAGATCTTTACTGCATTTTCCTATAAATTCAGAAGCTAGTTTGAATATTTCACGAAGACTTTCACACAAAAAAATTGAGTCTTTTGTTGGTCAATTTCGCCAAGATTGCTTTTTTTTTTTTTTTTTGCTCTGAGGTTGTTTAGATGAAAAAGTGTTCCTTTTCTTTGGTGTTTAGCTGTTTTTAGATTCTTCTCTGATTTTATTTTGTTTCGTAGATTCAAATGATTCCGATAAACTTCTGGGAGGACTACTTGCTACAGGGTTTGATGAACATTCATGCCTCAGTAGATACCAATCATCACTATACCGTAAACCTTCGCCGTACAAGCCTTCTCCTTACCTCGTCTCCAAGCTCAGAAACTACGAAACGCTTCACAAGCGATGTGGTCCTGGCACTGAATCTTACAAGAAAGCTCTAAAGCAACTTGACCAAGATCATATCGATGGCAATGGTGAATGCAAATACGTCGTGTGGATCTCCTTCAGCGGGTTAGGAAACAGGATACTCTCTCTAGCCTCGGTCTTTCTCTACGCGCTTTTGACGGACAGAGTCTTGCTCGTAGACAGAGGGAAAGACATGGATGATCTCTTCTGCGAGCCGTTCCCTGGTACCTCGTGGTTACTTCCTTTAGATTTCCCGATGACGTCTCAGTTTGATGGGTTAAATCAAGAATCCTCTCGCTGCTACGGACATATGCTGAAGACTCAGGAGATCAGCAACGAGAAAACTCTGTCTCATCTTTACCTTCATCTGATCCATGACTATGGAGATCATGACAAGATGTTCTTCTGTGAAGAAGACCAAACCTTTATAGGGAAATCCCCTTGGTTGATAGTCAAAACAGATAATTACTTTGTTCCTTCTCTATGGCTGATCCATGGCTTCGACGAGGAGCTAAACAAGCTCTTCCCGCAGAAAGAAACCGTCTTTCATCACTTGGGGAGATATCTTTTCCACCCAAGAAACCAAGTATGGGGCTTGGTCACTAGATACTACGAAGCTTACTTATCGAACGCGGATGAGAAGATAGGGATTCAGGTGAGAGTTTTCGATGTAGAAGCTGGTCCGTTTCAGCACGTTATGGATCAGATTTCATCTTGTACTCAAAAGGAGAAGCTTCTACCTGAAGTAGACACACTACTAGTAGAAAGATCACACCAAGTTAAAACCCCAAAACACAAGGCTGTGCTTGTCACATCTCTAAGCTCAGGTTACTCGGAGAATCTAAAGAATATGTACTGGGAGTATCCGACGTCAACAGGTGAGATCATCGGTGTTCATCAGCCGAGCCAAGAAGGTTATCAGCAGACTGAGAAGAAGATGCATAACGGGAAAGCTCTTGCGGAGATGTATCTTTTGAGTATGACAGATAATCTTGTGACGAGTGGTTGGTCTACGTTTGGATATGTAGCTCAAGGTCTTGGAGGTTTAAAGCCTTGGATACTGTATAGACCCGAGAACCGTACTGCTCCTGATCCTGCGTGTGGTCGGGCTATGTCGATGGAGCCTTGTTTCCACTCGCCTCCTTTCTATGACTGTAAAGCCAAAACGGGCATCGACACAGGGAAACTAGTTCCTCATGTGAGACATTGTGAGGATATAAGCTGGGGACTTAAGCTAGTATGAATGGTTTTACTCTGTTTTTTGATTATATGATGTTGTAACAACACCCTCTCTCTTCTTATATTAGCTTTTTATAAAAGTCAAAATTTTGCTGCTTTTGACATTTTCTCAAATTAGATAAAAACAAGAGCATAAAGGGTTCTTTTGTTACCAAAGTTTATGTGATGATCTTTGGCTCTTTGCTTCTCATACTCTTTTCCACTATGAAGAAGGTTAAAAGGGAGCGCTCAGATTTGATTCCTACTATCCTTTTTTTTTAGCTTTCCTTTTTCCTGAAATCTTAGGGTTTCTGAATGGATCTGCATCCCTCCAGAAGGAGACTCTCTCTCTCCAAGGGCATTGGTAAACAGCCTGAAGAACAGATTGGAGTCCAAGAAAAGAGATACAGATTGTTCGGAGCAATGAGAATCACAGAGATCATAGCTTATATCATGGTCATTACCCCTGTTTTGCTAGTAATCGCAGTAATCTTTGGACATGACTCGTATGATCAAGGATATGATTTCGCTGAAGCATCAAGAATCATCCAAATAAAACCAGAACCAAATTTGACATCCTCAGCTGATTCAACATTACAGAGAGATCAGAAACAAAACGGTAAGAAAAATATTGTTGTTTTAGCTTACCTTCTTGTCCTATAATGGTTTTGCTTTTTGTGATGTTTAAAAATCATTCTTGAATGTTTTCATCAGATTCTGTAAATTTGTCTCTGCTTGGAGGACTACTTGTTCCTGGTTTCAAGAAAGATTCTTGCTCGAGTAGATACCAATCTTACCTCTACCGTAAAGCTTCACCGTATAGACCTTCTCTGTATCTACTTTCGAAGCTTAGAGCTTACGAAGAGCTTCATAAGCGATGCGGACCGGGAACCAAACCATACAGCAACGCGAAGAGACTGCTTAAACCGAAACAAACCGGTGATTTGGAATCAGAAGGATGCAAGTATGTTGTTTGGATGGAGTTTAGCGGTTTAGGGAACAGGATCATCAGTATAGCCTCTGCGTTTCTGTACGCTATGTTGACAGATAGAGTCTTGCTCGTTGAAGGAGGAGAGCAGTTTGCAGATTTGTTCTGTGAACCGTTCCTCGATGCCACTTGGCTATTACCTAAAGATTTCACCTTAACTAAACAGTTCAGTGGCTTTGGTCAAAACTCAGCTCAATGCCATGGAGATATGCTCAAGAGGAAACTGGTTAATAGTTCATCGGTTTCGTCTCTGTCTCATCTTTATCTCCATCTAGCTCATGATTACAACGAACACGACAAGATGTTCTTCTGCGCAGAAGATCAGGATCTCTTGAAGAGTGTTCCTTGGCTGATCATGAGGACGAACAACTTCTTTGCCCCGTCTCTCTTCTTGATCCCTTCTTTCGAGGAAGAGCTCGGTATGATGTTCCCGGAGAAAGGAACGGTTTTTCACCATTTGGGTCGTTACCTCTTCCATCCTTCGAACCATGTGTGGGGACTGATCACAAGATACTACCAAGCTTACTTAGCCACAGCAGATGAGAGGATTGGTCTTCAGATAAGAGTCTTTGATGAGAAATCAGGAGTCTCTCCTCAAGTCACTAACCAAATCATTTCTTGCGTTCAAAACGAGGAGATACTACCAAAACTAAGCAAATCAGGAGAGCAACACAAGCAGCCATCAGAAGAAGACGTTAAACTCAAAGCTGTCTTGATCACTTCTTTAACAACAGGATACTCTGAGATCTTGAAGACGATGTACTGGGAGAATCCGACTGTGACAAGAGATGTGATTGGGATACATCAGCCAAGTCACGAAGGACATCAGCAAACAGAGAAGCTAATGCATAACAGGAAAGCTTGGGCAGAGATGTACTTACTGAGCTTAACGGATAAGTTGGTTATAAGTGCTTGGTCTACGTTTGGGTATGTAGCTCAAGGGCTTGGAGGATCAAGAGCTTGGATTCTGTATAAGCAAGAGAATCAAAACAACGTAAACCCTCCTTGTGGTAGAGCCATGTCACCAGATCCTTGCTTCCATGCTCCTCCTTACTACGATTGCAAAGCCAAGAAAGGAATCGACACTGGTAAAGTTGTCCCACACGTTAGACATTGTGAGGATATTAGCTGGGGACTTAAGCTTGTTGACAACTCATGACCTGAAACAAGACTGTGAAATTTTTTATACTTAGACTAAGTTACTTATATAAGAAGCAAAACATTCCTTCTCCGTTCCTATTTGTGTTTCCCTAGTGAGTTCTTTGCTTGCCCTGCAATGGAATACATATTTTTCTGTACGCAATTAATCACTTATGTTCTCGAGAGCTTTTTCTATTTGGTTCTTAAAGAAACATTTTTTAGAGTCTTAAGGTAATAGTAAAGTCTTAACTCATGATGATGCAAGAAGAAAGATTATGATTTTACCTAATAACTTCTCTCTGACTGTTTACCTCAACACTCGATTTCTCCAAAAACGTTCGAAGTGTTAGCAGAAAGTTTAAGACTTTTAAAGTCTTAAAATTGACAAAACTTTGAAATAAGCCTAAACAAGACGATCCCACTCGACTGCTAATGGGCCTACATCCAATGGGCCTAAGTAAGTTCATGCAGTAGCTTTCTTGTGCATTTTTCAACAGTTTTTTAGATGAGAAAATGCAAAAAAGTCTCAAAAGTTTTCTCAACTAACGACGGAAGAATAGGGCTTGCTTGTTTGAATGGATCTCTTAAACGGCCTCTCCTCAATTTAAGTAGGGAAGTTACAATGTCTATCTTCTTACACGCCTAACTTTGTTCTGTAACTCTTTCTCTTTCTGTCCTAAACTCTCTTTATATAAACACTTACTAACACTCCTTTTATCTCTCACCAATCCCACTCTCACACACATACACACACACAAACCATGGCTTCTTCTTCTTCTTCTTCTTCCTCTTTGTTGCTCCCTTTCTTTCTTATCATTTTCTCAAGTTTCATCGCACTTTCATCATCAAGAAGATCATTAATCGACCGTCCTCCACCCAAAAGCCTTCCAAGATCCGGTTTTCGATTCAGTCTACAACACGTGGATTCCGGTAAAAACCTCACAAAGATCCAAAAGATCCAAAGAGGGATTAACCGTGGATCCCACAGATTAAACAGGTTAGGAGCTGTAGCTGTTTTGGCTGCAGCATCTGATCCTGACGATACTAACAACATCAAAGCACCTACTCATGGAGGAAGCGGAGAGTTTCTTATGGAGTTATCTATAGGAAACCCTCCGGTTAAGTACTCGGCTATAGTCGATACAGGAAGCGACCTTATATGGACTCAATGCAAGCCTTGCACCGAATGTTTCGACCAACCAACTCCGGTTTTCGACCCGAAAAAGTCTTCCTCTTACTCAAAAGTCGGATGCTCTTCTGGTCTTTGCAACGCACTGCCTCGATCGAATTGCAACGAAGACAAAGATTCTTGTGAGTATTTGTATACGTACGGTGATTACTCGTCCACAAGAGGGAACTTGGCCAAAGAAACGTTCACTTTCGAGGAGGAAAACTCGGTTTCGGGCATCGGGTTTGGGTGTGGGATTGAGAACAAAGGAGACGGGTTTTCGCAAGGCTCAGGTCTTGTAGGTCTTGGTCGTGGACCGCTCTCGCTCGTTTCTCAGCTCAAGGAGACTAAGTTCTCTTATTGCTTGACCTCTATTGAGGATAACGAAGCATCTAGCTCGTTGTTTATTGGATCTCTAGCTTCCGATATCATAAATAAAACCGGTGCAATGTTAGACGGTGAAGTCACCAAGACGATATCGTTGCTACGAAATCCGAATCAGCCTTCGTTCTATTACCTTGAGTTACAAGGCATCACCGTTGGATCAAAACGTCTTGATATTGAAAAGTCTACTTTCGAACTAGCCGAAGACGGAACCGGAGGTATGATCATAGACTCGGGCACGACCATCACGTATCTAGAGGATTCCGCGTTTAGGACGTTGGCCGAGGAGTTTTCTTCTCGGATGAGTTTACCAGTCGATGATTCGAGATCGACGGGACTTGACTTGTGCTTCACGTTACCTGATGTCGCCAAGAATATTGCTGTTCCTAAGCTCATTTTTCATTTTAAAGGCGCGGATTTGGAGCTTCCGGGAGAGAATTACATGGTGGCGGATTCGAGTACCGGCGTTTTGTGTTTGGCCATGGGAAGTTCTAATGGGATGTCTATTTTCGGAAATGTTCAGCAGCAGAATTTTAATGTACTTCATGATCTTAACAAGGACACAGTGTCGTTTATTCCCACTGAATGTGGAAAATTGTAGATTTTTAATTGTTTTCTTCTTTTATTATTAATAAACTTTTATGCTTTAATTTGTGACAATGTCAAGTGACTCAATATTTTACAGTAGTAGAAAACACTATTTTGTTGGTTTAAAAACAAGGAAAAAAAAAACAGGAGCAATCTTAATTTGTAAATAGTACTTTAACATTCTTCTTTTTAGCTAAAGGGTTTACGTTTATATCACTTAAACTTACTTAATGATCGATAAACAATTATCTGAACCTAGACTAAAATTAGGTAGCTATATGTTTTAGATCTGTCCGTAAAACCATGAGTTTGAGCTAATCAATCATTAGATATAGTAGTAACAAAAATAGTCAGTTGTATGCATATTTAGATCTAAATCATTAATCGATCAGAATACTTGTTTATGTTAAAAAAAAAAAACATTAATCGATAACCATATTTAAATTCTAGATTCTTGTTTAAATGTATACATTACAATTTACGTAAAAGAGTGATAATTTGTTTTCCAAGGTCAGGTTCCATCACGAACAACTTAGAAAATTGACAATTGATATGATTATATATGAGAATCATTGACATAATAAGTAACGCTAATAATTATTAGAATTATTAAACGTGGAAGTAAAGAAAAGGGTTCGCTCAACTTCCAAGCAAGTCTAGATGAAAGCGAGAGATGAAATATATGCGTCATGCAACTTTAATCAATTTGGAAATATTATAACACGTCGCCCAACAAACATTACTAAGCAACCCTAACCATCTTACCTATTTATTTGATTTATCAAAAATATTCAACCATAAAACTGATCGTGTATCTTGTACATATTTTCCGAAATTTAAAAATATAATCATTTTACAGAAGATTTTATTTTAGATTGGATCCTACCAGTTTCCACGATTGTATATTAATCGCTCACCGTTGTATATATACAACTTTACCGCACATGTCGATTGCAGAAATGATCTAATGTTCTTTGGTCGAACCAAGATACTCTAATTTGTATATAATCTAATGTCTACTGTGTATAATGGGTACAAGCGAAAGAAAGTGAGTTAGGTTTGGGACTTTTTTTATTCTATAATCATATTTGCAAAACAATTTAAGAATATAATCATACTATTTGAAAAATTAGTAAACTAACCATAGCCTACAATCAATTGTCGAAAATGTATTATAATATACTATATATTATACTATATAATAATTTTATGGAATGCTTCTTTTTGATATAGTATTTACAAAAATATTTTTTGTAAGGAGGAAAGAAAAAAAGAAGACGAGAGAGGAAGGAAGGAGAGGGAAGAGGAGGCAAGGAGAAGAGAAAGGGAGGAAGGGAGATGAGATGAGCGAAGGTGGGCAGAAGAGATTGGAGGGGAAAAAGATGAAAGGAAAAGAGAAGATCAGAGGAGAAAGAAGTAGGAGAAAAAAAAAGAAAAGAGTAATTTTGTATATATTATAGAATTTACGAAGAATATTATAGCACCTAGTTTGTTATGATTATTTGATTAATTTAGGTTAGAAATATGATTATATGACTCAATTTCTCTGATGTTGCATGTTAGCGAGAATTAGTCGGTCTTGTTATAAATACCTTTAATAAAAAAAAGAAAAAAAAAGTGACGGAAAAAATAGATGAACACGTGCGATATGTGTTTCGCGCGTGTGTTATTGACTTTTCAGTGGTATATCATTGGGCCCTAAAAGGTCCATAATTAGATATATAACTGGTTTTTAAAAATCAGCCCAGAACCCTAAACTTTGTTATTATATAAGGATGGTGTTGATGGTATTCGGTTTTGTACTAAACTTGGGACGAACTCCAATCTTTTCAGTTATGAAACTCAAATAAACGAGTTATATATCTCCTGAGGCTATAGTTGTTATGAAGGAGACATCATATTGGAAGGGAAAACAATACATACATACACACACTTGAACACAGCAACAAACCCACGAGTTTTTAAACTAGTTTATGAGAAGAGAGAACTTTATCTGTTCATTGCATGATCAGATATGAGCAACTTGGCATGTACTAATAGTAATACCTAGGTGTTAATACCACCTAACATTGCCGATCCGACGTTTTTTGATATCTTATACTAATTTAAAAAATATATTTTTCTATATAATATTTAACATAGAAAAACTGTACTTAAAATCTTATAAAAAAAAATTAATTTCAGACAAGCAATTTAAATTTATAAATAGTTTATAAAAAATGAATAAAATTTTTAAAAATTATCATTGAAAAATAGTTTTCTTTGCATTTTTGCTTGTAAAATCATTTATCAAACTCACATAATAGAGTTTTTCAACCATAACTATCTCAATTGATAACAAAGCCAGTCCATTCAATCTTTCTTTAATTTTTATATTACAAATAATTCTTAATAAATTTTAACTTAAATTTTTATTTATATATAAATATTAATAAATAACTCTAATGAGAATTTTTTCTTAAAAACGATGTCTCTAAATTTTTTGCTCCCTTAATCTTTGGCTTCTCGTGCTTACCTCATGGCCAGCCGTGCAACGTTAATTAGTTTATGAGTTCATCTAAAATGTTTTGTTTTATGTATGTGTTTTGAAGTTTGATTCTTGTGTTTGAATTACAGTAAAACCTCTATAAATTAATAATAATGGAACTCTCAAATTTTATTAATTTATAGAATTATTAATTAATCGATAAATTAACAATTATTAATTTATCAATAAGTTAATAATTTTTTTATTTATATAGATATTTTGAGTTTGCATTTTTAATATTTATCAGAAAAACAAAATCAATATTTTCAACAATGTAAAATTTATTCAAAAATGTCATAATAATAAATTTAGAAGATAAATCAAACAAATTTTATAAACTTGAAACAACAATATTATCATAGTTTACTATATTATATTATTAATATTTTCCTAAATGTATAAGTATTAATTTATATTACTATTGTGTTAGAGATAAGATCTGTACTGTCTCTAACAAGCCCGATACGAATTCTGGTCGGCCTGTCTAACAAGTTCCAGGTCGGTAATGTAAAAGGAAATCTTCCATTTATTGATCGACCCGAGGAAAAAGGAAACTCCTTGCCGACAAGAGTTTCCTATTCCAAGCAGATTGAAGACCGACCTGATCGGCTATAAATGTAGGAAGTCCTCGACTCTTCAACCTATCCGAAAATCATTTATCGAGACCTAGGGCAAACTAAGCAATCTGATTGTTCTAGCTATCGATTTACTTTCCATAAAAGTTTAGTTCGGTGTTCTTATTCCGACGACCTAAACCCCCGTGTATTCATTCAAGCTCCGGCTTCTTCTAATAAAAGACTTCTCTTTAAACCCACAAACCCTAGTTCTTTCGTAGATCGAACTTGAGTTTTTACAGTTGGCGCCTTCATCATGACCGACTACTTCACCAAATGGGTCGAAGCCAAGGCGTTCGCCGACATTACAGCCATCGAAGTACAAAGCTTCATCTGGAGATACGTCATATACCGACATGGCCTTCCTTACGAGATCGTTACTGATAACGGCCCCCAGTTCAGATCGAAGAAAATTCAAGCTTTCTGCGACAAGTGGAAGATTCGCCTCAACAAGTCGACACCACGTCATCTGCAAGGCAACGGACAAGCCGAAGCAACCAACAAGACAATCCTGGACGGCATTAAGAAGCGTCTCAATGCCAAGAAAGGTTTTTGGGCGGATGAACTGGACGGCGTGCTTTGGTCTCATCGCACAACTCCGAGAACTGCAACCGGGAAAACTTCTTTTTCACTCGCGTACGGATGCGAAGCTATGGTTCCTGCGGAGATCAACGTCGGAAGCCTACGAAGAAGAGTACTCCCGGGTATTCCCGAAGTAAACGCAACAATGTTGGTGGATAATATCGACACATTCGAAGAAACACGCAATCAAGCGTTGCTCCGAATGCAGAACTACCAGAATCAGGCAGCTCGGTACTACAACAAAAAAGTACATAATCGACATTTCGACAAAGGCGACCTGGTCCTTCGAAAAGTCTACGAGAACACCAAAGAAGAGAATGCTGGGAAATTCGGCGCAAACTGGGAAGGTCCATACATCATCACTAACATAGTGAAACCAGGAGTTTACCGGCTCGAAGCTTTGGACGGCGAGTTGATTCCACGAGCCTGGAACTCACTCAACCTCAAAAGATACTACCGTTAGATCGGCACCTCCTCGAGGTCGGCATCGTAAAAAAAAAAGGGAGGGAATAGTCCCTATAAACTACGAAGCGGTTTGATCCGCGAAAGGGGTACGTAGACAACCTATCCTCGGATGATGCAACTGCTCCCCCGGGGGGGGGACTCAATATTTCTTTTAACCATCGAGTCGTCTTCGGTTTGTAAGTCTGGTTCAATAGAATCTCATTTTCAAAAAAATATATTGCGTTCATTATCATATCGGCATCCTGGCCAGATGCTCGATCCGCCTAAAGCTAGTCTGATCCACTTTAGCTCGGTAACTTAAAGCCAAGTCCGCCTTGCATTCTACAGTTTTACCTGTTTTCCTATGTCCGAGCCATGCGTTGTTATCAGCCAAGTCAGTCTTGCATCCGCATTCGACTCGGATACTTCTAAAGTGATACTGATGCATTGACGCCGACCTGAATCGCACATCGAGTATTCACACTTAGAAGAGAAGTGGTACGAACAATCATAAGCCGAGCCTCCCGCACGTTCGTATTCACACTTCAGTATACAAGCCAGAATCCACACTGCAATTCTTAAGCCATGCGGAATATGTAAGCCGACCTGATCGCAGTTCGTATTCGACTTAAGAAATTTTCTAAGTATCGAATTCATACCGATCTAATTCGTTTGTTCGTTTAATACTTAAAAATTTAAATCGCACAAACTTAAGCCGATATCGCATCGCCGTTGTGTTCAGATTTTCAACTCATAAAAAATGCTTAGTTTCTTAAAAACTTTCATTAAAATAAAAGCCAGAACGGCACAAAAAATACATCAGGGTACACGATAGATTACAAACAA